TCCTCAAATTAAATTGCATTTTTTGCCCTCCAGTTTCCCCGACGTCCAAGAACATTCCTGGCATTCAGGTTGGTGAAATTCAGAGCCTTTTCTTTTTTTGCACACGCGAGAGGCAAAAAATACAGTTTGTTCCAGCCCTTGCTTAGGTTTTCGGTTTTTTCAAAATAAGTCCATTTATTTTATTTTATTTTATTTTGCAATTCGCTGATGGCCACAAACCACCATCGTTTCATTCGGGTGGATATCTCGGGGTGTCTTCCGAATATGGTTAAAATAATAATAATAATAATAATAATAATAATAATAATAATAATAATAATAATAATAATTCAGATTGCAGCCACAATAACGTCGATCGATGCAAGGAAATTTCCACTGCATTCTTCGGGCGGCCATTTTGACTTTTTCGACATCCTGGACCGATTTCCTAAGGCTGGCCTGCAGCCGACCTCCGCCGTAAAGAATGTAATACTTGGGCATTAATTAAGATAATGAATAACTTCATCATCTTAATATCCTTCTATATAACTTAGCTTTGAAGGCACAGGTAAGCCTTGATTTACGACTGCAACGGAGCCCAGAATTGATGTCGCGAAGCGAGGCGTTTGTGAGGTGAATTTTGCCCCGCGTTGCGACCTTTCTGGCCACCGTTGTTAAGTGAATCATTGCAATGGTTAAATTAGTAACATCGTTGTTAAGTGAATCGTGTTTCCCCCCTGGACTTCGCTGGTCAGAAGGTCGCACATGTACGACCGTCGTATGTGTGAGTCGGTTGCCAAGCATTTTAATTTTGATCGCGTGACCATGGCCGTAAGTGTGAGAAACGGTCATAAGTCACTTTCCTCCGTGCCGTTGTAACTTTAAACGGTCACTAAATGAGAGGCTGTAAATCAAGGGTTAATTAATAATTTGGTTCAGAGACCCGTTTTCGACAGCACTGAAAAGAGTGGCCTATGACCGTTTCTCACACTTAACGACCGTCGCAGCATCCTCGTGATCAAAATTTGGACGCTTGGCCACTGACTCGTATTCATGATGGTCGCGGAATCCCCCGGGGGATCACATGATCCCCCTTTTGCGACCTTCCGAAGAGCAACGTCGACGGGGAAACCAGATTCACCGGACAATGGCGTTCCTAACTTAAGAAACGGCAAGTATTCGCTTAACGACCGTGAGAAGAAAGGGCAACATTCACTGAACAATCGTCTGATTTGTTGTTTATTTGCCGGATTCCCAGAGAAAATTGGAGCTTCTACAAATGCATTTTGATCTCCATCCGGTTGTCGCTGAGTCAGCGCTTCGAGTGAGACGTTGCTGGAGCAGACCCAGAGTAAATTTACTCCAGCGTCCTATTTCGAGCGCGGGATGCGGCCACGAGGCTCATAAATCCCAGATGAGGAAGGCTAGGTTCCTTCCTTTGCTTTTTTTCGCATTCTCCCACCCGCCCGGCATGCTGGTGGTGTCCCAAGGTATACTACCATGAAACATGGAGGCTCTGTTTTGCCACCGAGTTGAAGAATCCTGAGTAGATCATTCCTTGAGGAGAAGTCTTGGGATTTACAGAGTCTCTTTTCTCATCCATGGCTCTGGAAATCTTAACTGGGTTTAGGCTGACCATGTTACGTCCCTTGAAATCTTAACCGGGTTCAGTTTGACCATGTTACGTCCCTGGAAATTTTAACCACGTTCAGACTGAGCATTTTACGTGACTGGAAATCTTAACCAGGTTCAGACTGACCATGTTATGTCCCTGGAAATCTTAACCGGGTTCTGATTGACCATATTATGATCCTTGACATCTTAACTGTGTTCAGACTGACCATGTTACGTCCCTTGAAATCTTAACAGGGTTCTGATTGACTATTTTATGCCCCTTGAAATCTTAACCGGTTCAGTTTGACCATGTTACGTCCCTGGAAATTTTAACCAGGTTCAGACTGAGCATTTTACGTGACTGGAAATCTTAACCAGGTTCAGACTGACCATGTTACATCCCTGGAAATCTTAACCGGGTTCCAATTGACCATATTATGATCCTTGACATCTTAACTGTGTTCAGACTGACCATGTTACGTCCCTGGAAATCTTAACCGGGTTCCAATTGACCATATTATGATCCTTGAAATCTTAACTGCGTTCAGACTGACCATGTTACATCCCTTGAAAACTTAACCAGGTTCAGACTGACCATGTTATGTCCCTGGAAATCTTAACCAGGTTCAGACTGACCATATTATGTCCCTGGAAATCTTAACCAGATTCAGACTGACCATGTTATATCCCTTGAAATCTTAACGGGGTTCAGATTGAGCATTTTATGTCCCTGGAAATCTTAACTATGGTTCAGTTTGACCATGTTACATCCCTAGAAATTTTAAACAGGTTCAGACTGACCATGTTACATCCCTGGAAATCTTAATCGGGTTCCAATTGACTATTTTACGCCCCTGGAAATCTTAACCGGGTTCAGACTGACCATGTTACATCCCTGGAAATCTTAACCGAGTTCAGACTGACCATGTTACATCCAGTGGTGGGATTCAAGTAATTTAACAACCGGTTCTCTGCCCTAATAATTTCTTCCAACAACCAGTTTGCCAAACTGCTCAGAAAGTCAACAACCGGTTGTCCCGAAGTGGTGCGAACCGGCTGAATCCCATCACTGGTTACATCCCTGGAAATCTTAACCGGGTTCAGACTGACCATGTTACATCCAGTGGTGGGATTCAAGTAATTTAACAACCGGTTCTCTGCCCTAATAATTTCTTCCAACAACCAGTTTGCCAAACTGCTCAGAAAGTTAACAACCGGTTGTCCCGAAGTGGAGCGAACCGGCTGAATCCCATCACTTGTTACATCCCTGGAAATCTTAACCGGGTTCAGACTGACCATGTTACATCCAGTGGTGGGATTCAAGTAATTTAACAACCGGTTCTCTGCCCTAATAATTTCTTCCAACAACCAGTTTGCCAAACTGCTCAGAAAGTTAACAACCGGTTCTCCCGAAGTGGAGCGAACCGGCTGAATCCCATCTCTGGTTACATCCCTGGAAATCTTAACCGGGTTCAGACTGACCATGTTACATCCAGTGGTGGGATTCAAGTAATTTAACAACCAGTTCTCTGCCCTAATAATTTCTTCCAACAACCAGTTTGCCAAACTGCTCAGAAAGTTAACAACCGGTTGTCCCGAAGTGGAGTGAACCGGCTGAATCCCATCTCTGGTTACATCCCTTGAAATCTTTACTCGCTGCTGTCCAGATTGGAAAACACATCTTGAAACAATTTTTAATTTTTTGCTGCGGCTGGAACATCCTGGATTTGGCCTGACTCACATCCCCCGCCACCCCCCGTGGCAGCCGACCCCCCCCCCAAATCCCCATGTAATAAATCAAAAGCCGGGCAGCTGACTCAGCACCCCGCGGGCTCACAAAATGCAGGTGCCAAGTTGAAAATGCCAGCTGGCCTCCCACGCGTTCCCATCCCGTGGCCGGAGCTGGAGAGGAAGGTTGCACGGGGCACAAGCCCCAGAAAGGCCCGTGGCCTGCCAGGAAAACAGTGCCCACGTCCATCGCTCGGTACCCGGCTCAGAGAGGCTGCCCCCCCCATCCATTCCGGACCTCTGGCTGGAGTTGGCATCAATGGGAATGCCATGCTGGGTTTATCCTTCCAAATGATTAGATCCCCAGTTCCTCTTTCCTTTCCTTTCCTCTTTTCCATTTTCCTTTCCTTCTTTCCTTTCCTTTGTTTTTCTTCCTTCCTTTCTTTCCTTCCTTCCTTCCCTTCCTCCCTCCCTTCTTTTCTTTCTTTCTTCTTCCCTTGTTCCTTCCTCTTTTCCTTTCCTCTTTTCCATTTTCCTTTCCTTTTGTCTATTTTCCTTTCCTTTCCTCTTTTCTGTTCTCCTTTCCTTTCCTCTTTTCCATTTTCCTTTCCTTCTTTCCTTTCCTTTGTTTTTCTTCCTTCCTTCCTTTCCTTCCTCCTTCCCTCCCTCCCTTCTTTTCTTTCTTTCTTTCTTCTTCCCTTGTCCCTTCCTCTTTTCTTCCTTTCCTCTTTCCTCTTTTCCATTTTCGTTTCCTTTCCTGTTTTTTCTTCCTTCCTTCCTTCCTTTCCTTCTTTCCCTCTCTCCCTTCTTTTCTTTCTTTCTTTTTCTTTGTTCCTTCCCCTTTTCTTTCTTTCCCCTTTTCCATTTTCCTTTCCTTTGTTTTTTCTTCCTCCCTTTCTTTCCTTCCTTCCCTCCCTCCCTCCCTTCCTTCTTCTTTTCTTTCTTTCTTCTTCCCTTATTCCTTCCTCTTTTACTTTCCTCTTTTCCATTTTCCTTTCCTTCTTTCCTTTATTGTTCCTTCCTTCCTTTCCTTTCCTCCCTCCCTCCCTTCTTCTTTTCTTTCTTTCTTCTTCCCTTGTTCCTTCCTCTTTTCTTCCTTTTTCTTCCTTTTTCCTTCCTTCTTTCCTCCCTCCCTCCCTTCCATTCCCATTCCTCTTTCTGGCCTCTGGATTTCAGTGCTCAAGTCCTCTCAATGAGGGGATGGAAGGAAGGAAAGGAAAGAAGGAAGGAACAAAGGAAGAATGGAGGGAGGATGGGGAGGAGAGCGGGAGGAAAGAAGGAAGGAAAGAACAAAGGAAGGAGGGAGCGAAGGAGGAGGGAAGGAGGGAGCGAGGAAAGGAAGGAAGGAAGGAAGGAAGGAAGCCAATATTCCCAGTCAGCAATTAAGCTCTTCGTTTTCCCTTTAATGAAGTGAAACCATGGGTGGACTTTAACTCCCAGAATCCCCCAGCCAGCCATGTTTGAAATCCACTCATCTTAAAACGGGTGGATTTCTTAAAATTCCTCTAACGCAGGCCGCTTCTAAATCTGCAGGATCACACCTCCCATCATCCATACAGCCAATTAGGCCTCTTCACTTCTCTTTGCTTTTCCATCTCCCCGCGGGGAGATCTTCGACCGGCCCGTCCTTCCATCTATTTTTCTCCTATTTTTCTCCTTCTCTCCTTCTTTCCTTTTAGGTTCGGTCATGTCTGAAGGGGCTGATTCCCAGCCGGTGGCTTTGGGGGCGTCTCGGGTCGAACTCCGGGTTTCCTGCTGGAACTTGCCGGACAAAGAAGCCGACATTAAACCGGATCCGTGTCTGGTTATCCAGCTGCTCAGCGATGGACAGTGGAACGAGGTATATGGCTTTTTTTAAAAAAAAAAAATCTGGGCATCGACAACCTTCCCGTCAGTCAATTGCAAAAAAGTCACATTCTTTGATTTCAGACGTAGAAGATAGTCCTCGACTTCATTTAGCGACCGTTACGACGGCACTGAATAAAGGGACTTTTCTCACATTTAACGACTTTTGCAGCCTTCCCACGGTCACGTGGTCTAAAATTCAGAGGCTGTGATGCTGACTCGTATTTATGATGGTTGCAGCGTCCGGGGGGGGAGGGAAATGCGTGATCCCCTTTTGCAACCATTGGACGAGCAAAAGTCAATGGGGAAGCCCGATTCGCTTAACGACCCTCTGACTAACTTAACGACTCTGATTCACTTAACAACCGTGGAAAGAAAAGGTCGTAAAATGGGGCAAAACTCACTTAAAATCTTCTTACTTAGCAGCAGCAACTTTGGGCTCAATGGCGGTCGTAAGTTGAGAGCTAGCTGTATCCAGAGACTTGCACACATGCACACAGCTTAAAAAACACTGCTAAATAGGACGGCAAAGCACCGGAGCCACACTACCCGTCCGAACCGGCTGAATCCCACCACTGTCTGTACCTCACCGATGTTTGACGGACAACTAAAAAAAATAAGCTTTGCTTTTATTTACCGCTCCTCTAAAACAGGCTGGCTGGGGAATTCTGGGAGTCGAAGCCCGCCCGTCTTAAAGTTGCTAAACTTAAGAAAAAAACTGTTTTGCAAGCATCAAATAAACCCAGTAAATGCGATATTCGGCTTTAAAGGCACAGCCGAATCAAAGCTCCCACGTTTGCTAAAAAAAAAAAACATTTCCCAGCCTTTCTCCCAAACAGGGACCCCTCTGGGCTTATTGACATCCACCTCTCCTTTCCTCCTTCCCAGGTGGGGCGCTCGGAAGTCTTGCACGGCTCCCGGAACCCCGTTTTCGCTCATGTCTTTGCCCTGGATTACTTCTTCGAGGAGATGCAAAATTTGAAATTCGAGGTCTTTGATGCCAACGGAGAAAGTGATTCCGACTTGGGCTGTGTGTCTGGGATGCTGATGGGCACCATCGAATGCTCCCTGGGGCAGGTAGGAAGGGAATCTGCCCCCCTCTCTCTCTTTCTCTCTAGCTATCTGTCTCTAATCTCTCTCTCTCTCTTGGTCTGTCCGTCTGTCTGTCTATCATTTATCTATCTTTTATTTATGTATATCTTTCTATCTTTCATCCACTTATGTATCATCCATCTATCAATTAATCTATTATTTTTATATCAGTCATTCTATCATCTATCTTTTTATCTATCTATTTATCTATCTTTATTAATTAATTAATTTATTTATTTATTTAATCTAATTTTTATACCGCCCTTCTCCCGAAGGACTCAGGGCAGTGCACAGCCAAAAATAAAACAAACACATATATAAAATTTAAAAACAATTTAAAAACATATTAAATAATTTGGCCCCGACAAATTATTGTTTATCTATCTGTCTATATCTATATTATCTCTATCATCTCTATCTATCTATCATCTATCTACTGTATCATCTACTGTACCATCTATCATCTATTATCTATCCATCTACTTACTTACTGACTATCTAAGATATAGTCTTTTTATCTATCTATAGCTCTCTTTATTATCTGTTTATCTATCTATATATTATCTATCTATCATCTATCTATCTATCTTTATCTTTTATTTATGTTTTATCTTTCTATCTCATCCATTTATGTATCATCCATCTAATCTATGTATCTATCTATCTATCTATCTATCTCTATCTTTTATTTATGTATTATCTATCTTTCTATCTATCATCCACTTATGTATCATCCATCTATCAATTATCTGTTATCAATCATTCCATCATCTGTCTTTTTATCTATCTACATCTATCTATGCATATTATCTATCTATCTATATCTATATTATCAATCTATCATCTATATCTTTCTATCTTTCTATCATCTATTTATCTTCATCTGCTTACTATCTATCTAGCTATCTAGCTATCTATCTTTATCTTTTATTTATGTATTATCTATCTTTCTATCATCCACTTATGTATCATCCATCTATCATCTATTATCTATATATCAATCATTCTATCACCTATCTTTTTATCTATCTATATCTATCTCTCTTTATTATCTGTTTATCTATCTATATATTATCTATCTATCATCTATCTATCTATCTTTATCTTTTATTTATGTTTTATCTTTCTATCTCATCCATTTATGTATCATCCATCTAATCTATATATCAATCATTCTATCATCTATCTTTTTCTCTATCTGTATCTATCTATCTCTCTTTATTATCTGTTTATCTATCTATCTATTATCTATCAATCTATCTATCAATCTATCATCTATCTATCTATCTATCTATCTATCTATCTATCTATCTATCTATCTATTTATCACCTATCTATCTACTGTATATGTATCATCTATGTATCATCTATCTATCTATTATCTACAGTAGATATCTATCTATTATCTATCAATCATCTGTGTATCTATGTATCTATCTATGTATATCTACTGTATCTCTCTATATCTATCTATCTATCTATCTATCTATCTATCTATCTATCTATCTATCTATCTATCTATCATCTATCTATCTATCTATCACCCTTTCCCTATCTTTCTAATCATCCATCCATCCATCCATTCATCCATCCAAACACCAATTCTATCTTTTCATCTCCAGATTGTCTCCCAAACCAAAGTCACCAAGGAGCTGGTGTTGCCAAACGGAGAGATTTTGGAGAATTCAACCATCACGGTAGATAAATCCAGGGGGAAGGGGCAGGGGCGGAAGAGAAATGGGAAATAATCTTAATTTTAGAGAAGACCGAGAAGAAACCAAGGATAATTCAGAAGGAGCAGGGGGCGGGGGGGGGGAGAGGGGACACGGCCTAATGCAGGGAATTGTCGGAGTAATGGAAACATTATCATCAGAAATTTATCTGATCAGAAACACGATCTGGGTGGTCTAGCAAAAATTTATTTTAATTGAAAGCCAATATTGCTTTGGGATCCTTAGTCCCATAACAGCTAGGTGAAGCTGACCTTGGCTCCACCAGTGTCATCCTCTGGTAATCAACATTTAGCTTTCTTTCCCCGGTGTGCAGCTTGGCTTACTTACAAGAGTTGTCTATTTTGGCTTTTAGAAACGGGAGAGCAGATACTTCTCGTAATTTCGCAAGTATTTACAACCTGCCTTTCCGGAGGTGGTTTGTATTTCCCCCTCTGTTGTATTTTACCACAACCTTGTGAGGTAGCCTGGCTTGTGTGCTTGACAGGAAAAGTAGGGATTTGAATTAGACCAGGGGTCTTCAACCTTAAACACTCAAGAGAGCCATTTGGACCCGTTTCCCACAGAAAAGAAAACACCGGGAGCCACAAAAACCTTCCCGTGCCTGACGATTTCTTCAGCGGCTACAAAACTAGCATATGTAGTTGAATTAAACCTTCTGTTTTCTTCTGAAACTTTTCTTTTCTTGGATTTATTCATTTCTTAGCCCACCAGGAGTTGAAAAGCTCAATAAATCGCATGCCTGAGGGTGTCGCACATTGGCGGTTGTGACGCCTATTTTGAGTGACAGGGAGCCGCAGAAGAGGGGTGAAAGAGCCACATGCGGCTCCAGAGCCGCAGGTTGCTGACTCCTGAACTAGACTGTTCCCTGACCTCATCTAACGACCGTCGTCAACCCCTGGTGCGCAGGAATTGAAGCCCCACAGATTTCAAATATAGGGTGGGAGAGAAGTGGGGTGCCTCGTTCCAAAGAGTAATATCTCAGAAAATATTAAGCTGTTTGGTAAAATCAAATATCACTGAGAAAAGTTAACGGGAATACGAGTAATCTTCAATTTACGACCTTCCTTTCGCAACCGTTCAAAGTGACCACGGAACTGAAAAAAAGGAGGTTTGCAATCAGTCCTCATACTTATGACCATGGTAACATTCCCCCCCCCCCCACGATCACATGATCAAAATTCGAACACCTGGCAACTGGCATGTACTTATGACAGTTGCAGTGTCCCGGGGTCATGGGATCGCCATTTGCGGCTTCCGACAAACAAAGTCAGCGAGGGGAAAAAGCTGGTCTCGTTTAACGACCGGGGGATTCACTTAACAACTGCAATGGTTTGCATGGCAAAATGGTGACGAGTTCCGGTGTGACACACTTAACGACTCCCTGACAGAAATTCGGCTCTCCCAACTGTGGTCGTAAGTTTGAGGACGACCTGTATCGATTTGAAGAAAATGGCATATTTTTTTCCTCTCTTGAAATGATCCTCGGGGGTTATTTTTATCGGCAGATCGAAGCTGAAGAGGTCTCCCCGACCAATAAGTTTGTACAACTGGAATTTTGCGGTCAAGAATTGGATGACAAGGTAAGGGAAAGGGGGGGAAAAAAAACCAGAAAGCAAATCCTAAAAAAAAAAAGGAACGTCGAGGTTGAGGTGTCACACAGGACTCCTCGGCTGAGAAGAGAGCTGTGCAACCTAGGAAATTGCCGGCATTTTAAATTCAGACATTACCTCATGGATTATTGCTTTTTAAACGAGGCAGGTTAACAGAATAATAGAGTTTAAAGGTATCTTGGAGGTCTTCTAGTCCAACCCCTTGTTCAAGCATCCCGTTTCAGACAAATGGTTGTCCAATCTCTTCTTAAAAACCTCCAGAGATGGAACACTGACAACATCTGGTGGCAGGTTGTTCCACTGGTTAATTATTCTCACAGTCAGGAAATTTCTCCTTAGTTCCAGGTTGCTTCTCTCCTTCATTAGTTTCCATCCATTGCTTCTTGTCCTGCTTTCAGGTGCTTTGGAAAATAAGTTGACCCCGTCTTCTTTTTTGGCAGCCCCTCAAATACCGGAATACTGCTATCATGTCACACCCTGGTCCTTCTTTCCTCTAGACTGGCCATACCCAATTCCTGCAACCGTTCTTCATATGTTGTTTTTTTTTTTGTCTCCGGGCCTTTTAAAATCAGTTCTTCTCTTTAAATTTAGTCTCCAGGCCTTAAACATTTTAAATCAGACTTTATTTCATGGATTATTGCTTTTTTAAATGAGGAAGAATAAAGTGCGAAGTTAACGGGGAAAAAAAAACCAGTTTGAATTGAATTGAAACAGAATTGGAAGGGATCTTGGAGGGCATTTAGTCCAACCCCCAGCTCACACATTTATTTAATAATTTATTTAATAATTTTAAATTTTTAATTGATGTTTGTCTTGTGTTTTTAAATAGGCTGTACACCGCCCTGAGTCCTTCGGGAGAAGGGCGGTATAGAAATAAAATTATACTTATACTTAATTATACTTATACACAGGAGACCTATACTAGGGTTTCGAACCGCTTCTAGTCCAACCCCCGATTCATGAGATCCTATATCCGTGATGGTGAACCTATGGCACGTCTGCCACAGGTGGCACGTGAAGCCATATCTTCGGGCACGCGAGCCGTTGCCCTAGCTCAGCTCCAGTGGGCATGTGTGTGCCGGCCACCTGATTTTCCGGCCTTCCGGGCCCACCGGACGGGCTGCTTCTGGCCTCTGGGGGTGGGGGTGGGGAAGGCCATTTTTGCCCTCCCCAGGCTCCTAGAAAGGCTCTAGAGCCTGGGGAGAGTGAAAAACGGGCCTTCCGGTCCCACTGGAAGTTGGGAAAAAGGTTAGGCATCACTGTCCTATATCATTTTAGACAAATGGCTGTCCAGTCTCTTCTTAAAAATCTCCAGCGATGGAGCACCCATATTAACCTCTGGAGGCAAGGAGTTCCACTGGTTAATTATTCTCACTGTCAGGAAATTTCTCTCTTATTTCTAGGCTGCTTCTCTGCTTGTTTAGTTTCCATCCATTGCTTCTTGTCCTGCCCTCAGGTGCTTTGGAGAATAATTTGACCCCCTCTTCTTTGTGGCAGCCCCTCAAATATTAGATGATGCTATCATGTCTCTCCTAATCCTTCTTTTCATTAAACGAGACATAACGAATTCCAGCAATTGCTCTTTATATGTTATAGCCTCCAGTCCCTTAATCATCTTGGTCTTGGAAGCATTCAATTTGTTTAAATGACATTAAATTATCCTCACTGCCGCGGATTTCTTGTTAGCTGGATCTGCTTGGTTATCTAAAGCGATTGTGTGTGAATTTTTCCAGCATGCAAATTCTGCCTCTGGTATGAATTGAATCTCTGATGGATTTCCTCCAAACTTTAGATGGCTGCTCCCAGTGGGGCAAAGAATATATTTATTTTTACAACGGATTTGAGGTTGCGTAACAAAAACACGGCATCCTTTGGAACGATTCCGTTTTTTCACAAACAGATCTGCCCCCCCCCCTGCAAATTGTCAGTTGCCTTTTAGAGCAATCTTTCTCAACCTTGGCTGTTTTACAACGGGTGGACTTCGACTCCCAGAATTCCTCAGTCAAGGCTGGGGGGATTCTGGGAGTTGAAGTCCACCTGGCTTAAAATGGTTCATCCATCTTGCTAAAACAATGTCCATGCTTAGAAGCATTCCAGCTCAGTGTTTGTCAACGTGGACCACTTTATGAAGGGCAGACTTTGACTCCCAGAATTCCTCAGTCAAGACTGGGGGATTCTGGGAGTTGAAGTCCACCTGGCTTAAAATGGTTCATCCATCTTGCTAAAACACTTTCCGTGCTCAGAAGCATTCCAGCTCAGTGTTTGTCAACCTGGACCACTTTATGAGGGGCGGACTTCGACTCCCAGAATTCCTCAGTCAAGACTGGGGGATTCTGGGAGTTGAAGTCCACCTGGCTTAAAATGGTTCATCCATCTTTCTAAAACACTGTCGGTGCTCAGAAGCATTCCAGCTCAGTGTTTGTCAACCTGGACCACTTTATGAGGGGCGGACTTCGACTCCCAGAATTCCTCAGTCAAGACTGGGGGGATTCTGGGAGTTGAAGTCCACCTGGCTTAAAATGGTTCATCCATCTTGCTAAAACACTGTCTGTGCTTAGAAGCACTCCAGATCAGTGTTTTTTCAACCTGGACCACTTTATGAAGGGCGGACTTCGACTCCCAGAATTCCTCAGTCAAGGCTGGGGGATTCTGGGAGTTGAAGTCCAAGCACCCATCTTAAAATGGTTCACTCATCCTGCTCAAACACTGTCCGTGCTTAGAAGCATTCCAGATCAGTGATTTTTCAACCTGGACCACTTTAAGAGGGGCAGACTTCAACTCCCAGAATTCCTCAGTCAAGACTGGGGGATTCTGGGAGTTGAAGTCCACCTGGTTTAAAATGGTTCATCCATCTAGCTAAAACACTGTCCATGCTCAGAAGCATTCCAGCTCAGTGTTTTTTCAACCTGGACCACTTTATGAAGGGCGGACTTCGACTCCCAGAATTCCTCAGTCAAGGCTGGGGGATTCTGGGAGTTGAAGTCCAAGCACCCATCTTAAAATGGTTCACTCATCCTGCTCAAACACTGTCCGTGCTTAGAAGCATTCCAGATCAGTGATTTTTCAACCTGGACCACTTTAAGAGGGGCAGACTTCGACTCCCAGAATTCCTCAGTCAAGACTGGGGGGATGCTGGGAGTTGAAGTCCTCCCCTCTTAAAGTGGTCCAGGTTGAGGGGGGAAAAACACTGCACAGTTTTGATCCCGTTAAACAGGATTATCGGTTAGGAGTCGGCCGACGCAGCCCGCTGGTTCTTCTCGCCGATTGGGAGAGGCTGTCAATCTTCCTCCGCTTTCATATCTGCGCCGCCGTTGTGCCTCCCGCCATCTTTTCTTCGTTTCGCAAGGTTGTGAGAGCTGCTGGTGCGATGCAGCTGCGTCAGTTTTCTGGATGTCCCATTTAATTTGGCCAGCCTGTTTTCCTGCGGATTTCCCAGGGGAGCTGAGCTCATTTGGAGAAAACCTGCGCTCCGCAGGACTTAAAAATGCAATTCTTTGTGCACCGCTGGGCGAAAATTGTTTTTCAGCCCTGCGTGCGTTTGACTTTCCGTTCTTCCGTCCCCAGGAATCTTCGGAGATCTCCCCGAAAAATCAGGAGGAGAAATGGCTAAATATTTTGCCTATTTTGAGAGATTGAGCTCCGAGAACGACCGAAGAAAGAATTAAATAAAATACAAGCAGTCCTCGACTTACGACCGCAATTGTAGTCCAAATTTTTCTGTCGCTTAGCGAGACGTTCGTTCAGCGAACGAAAGGTCCATTTGACGACCTTTCTGGTCACTTCTTCAAGGACGGGCGTCACACCGTCGTTAAGCGGGCTTCCCCTATCGACTTGGCTCGTCAGAAGGTCGCAAAACGGGATCGTCTGACCCCGGGGACGCCTCAAACCGTCATAAATAGGAGTCAGTGGGCAAGCTTCCGAATTTTAGATCACGTGACCATGGGGATGGTCGTAAGTCTGAAAAACGGTCAGAAGTTTATTTTTTTTTTCCCGTGCCGTTGTAAATTCGAACCGTCACTAAACGAGCTGTTGTAAGTCGAGGACTAGCTGTATTCTTTAACACCAAGCCACCTATGGAAGACTTTAAGGTTTATTATTACGCTGGGGATCCACAGGCAGTCCTTGACTTATTCATTTAGTGACCGATTGAAGTTACGACGGACCGCAAAAGCGACTTATGACCGTTTGGCACACTTACAACCATTGCAACATCCCCACAGGTCATGTGATCAAAATTCAGCCGCTTGGCAACCGACTCATATTTATGACGGTTGCAATGTCCCGGGGGGGGGAGGTGTCATGCAATCTGCCTTCTGCGCATGTCCCCGCCCTCAAAAACGTGCCTAAATAGGACGGCATTACGTCTCGGTGGGTAGGCAGTTCCACCCCACCCGCAGTCACGGCTACCGATTCAGCCGAACCTGTCCGAACCGCCTGAATACCCCCTCTGCAATCGTGGCAAGAAAGATCACGAAACGGGGCAAAGCTGACTTAAATGTCTCGCTTAGCGACAGGAACAGGGGGGTAAGTTGTGGTCGTAAGTCGAGGACCGCCTTTAGAAAGGTGGCGAGGGTGCCTTAGGGGGCCTTAAAGGACCTCCGGTGTGCCGTGTGAGAACAGCTGGTGTGATGTATAACATCTGGATTGTTGTGATTTGGCTCTCCCGGGTGTCACAAAATGGCTGCTTCGCCCGTAACTCTTTGAAAAATTGCTCTCCTTTTTTTCTTGTTTTTTCCAGGATTTCTTCAGCAAATCCGATCCTTTCCTGGAAATATATAAAGTTAGCGTTGGCGAGTCGGAGAATCTGGTTTGGAGGACAGAGGTGAGGATATTACAAGGCCCCTCCGGAGAATTTGATGGGAGGGGATTTTTTAAAAAAAGGGGGGGGAGGAAATGAAGATATAAAAAAATTAAAACAGGCTGGAACAGAGAGGAGCAAGGAGAGGCTTTGCAAACCTCTCCGCGGGCTGATGGGATAACCGGCTATCCGAATGGATCCGTTCGATCTAAGGAATCGTTTAGAAATATATTCGCCCTTTGGTGATTTTCAATGCTTTCAATGCTGCAAAACGCCCAAGCGTCGTTTCGAAATGAGATGGCCGGCCAATACATTTGAAAAAGAAAGTAAAGTACGTAAAATAAACTGAATTTTATACTATTTTTTATCTTTTGTGATTGTAAGCTGTCCAGAGTTATCCTAAGGTAAGATGGGCAGCCAATAGATTTTGATAGGTGATAGATAGATAGATAGATAGATAGATAGATAGATAGATAGATAGATAGATAGATAGATAGATAGATAGATAGATAGAAGGATAGATAGATAGATAGATAGATAGATAGATAGATAGATAGATAGATAGATAGATAGATAGATAGATAGATAGATAGATGATAGATAGATAGATAGATAGATAGATAGATAGATAGATAGATAGATAAGATAGATAAGATAGATAGATAGATGATAGATAGATAGATAGATAGATGATAGATAGATAAGATAGATAGATAGATAGATAGATAGATAGATAGATAGATAGATAGATAGATAGATAGATAGACAGACAGACAGACAACAAACAGATGGACGGATGGATGGATGGATAGATGGATAGATAGATAGATGATAGACGACAAACAGATGGACAGACGGATGGACAGAGGCATGGATGGATGGATAGATGATGGATAGATCATCCATCCATCCATGTGCCCGAAGATATGGCCCGAAGCCTTATCTTCGGGCACGTGAGCCGTTGCCCTAGCTCAGCTCCAGCACACATGCGTGTGCCGGCCACCTGATTTTCCGGCCTTCCGGGCCCACCGGACATTGGGAAATGGGCTGCTTCTGGCCTCGGGGGATGGGGGTGGGGAAGGCCATTTTTGCCTGAGGAGAGTGAAAAACGGGCCTTCCGGACCCGCCGGAAGTTGGGAAACGGGCTGTCTCTGGCCTCCGGAGGACCTACAGGGGGGTGGGGAAGGCCGTTTTTGCCCTCCCCAGGCTCCTAGAAAGACTCTGGAGCCTGGGGAGAGCGAAAAACGGGCCTTCCGGGCCCGCCGGAAGTTGGGAAACGGGCTGTCTCTGGCCTCTGGAGGGCTTCGGGGGGGGGAGGGAAGCCTGTTTTCGCCCTCCCCAGGCTCCAAGAAAGCGAAAAACGGGCCTATCATCTCTTTTTGTGTATCAGGTGGTGAAGAACAATCTCAGTCCTCGGTGGCAACCTTTCCGAATCTCTTTGCAATCGTTGTGCAGTTGTGATCCCGACAGGCCTATACGGGTAAGTTTCTTCCGAGCCATATTTTAAAAAAAGAAAAGAAAAAAGAAAAGAAAAGAAAAGAAAAGAAAAGAAAGAAAGAAAGAAAGAAAGAAAGAAAGAAAGAAAGAAAGAAAGAAAGAAAGAAAGAAAGAAAGGAGGAAGGAAGAAGGGAAGGGAGGGAGGGTAGGAGGGAGGAGAGAGGAAAGAAGGGAAGAAGGAAAGTTGTGATCCCGACAGGCCTATACGGGTAAGTTTCTTTCGAGCCATATTTTAAAAAAAGAAAAGAAAAGAAAAGAAAAGAAAAGAAAGAAAGAAAGAAAGAAAGAAAGAAAGAAAGAAAGAAAAGAGGAAGGAAGAAGGGAAGGGAGGGTGGGAGGGAGGGAGGAGAGAGGAAAGAAGGGAAGAAGGAAATAAAAGAACAGAAGAGGGAGGAAGGAGGGAAGGAAAGAAGGAAGGAAGAAGGGAAGAAGGAGGGAAGAAGGAAATAAAGGAACACAAGAGGAAGGAAGGAAGGAGGGAGGAAAGAAAGAAAGAAAAAGAGAGAGAGAAAGAAAGAAAGAAAGAAAGAAAGAAAGAAAGAAAGAAAGAAAGAAAGAAAGAAAAAAAAAGAAAGAAAGAAAGAAAGAAAGGAGGAAGGAAGAAGGGAAGGGAGGGTGGGAGGAAGGGAGGAGAGAGGAAAGAAGGGAATAAGGAAATAAAGGAACAGAAGAGGGAGGAAGGAGGGAGGGAAGGAAGGAAGGAGAGAGGAAAGAAGGAAGGAAGGAGGGAAGAAGGAAATAAAGGAACACAAGAGGAAGGAAGGAAGGTGGGAGGAAAGAAAGAAAGAAAGAAAGAAAGAAAGAAAGAAAGAAAATAAATGAAAGAAAGGAGGAGGATGAACTTGAGTGCGAAATATCGATTTTAAAATTTTTTTGGCTGCCTTGAAAGTCCATCATGAAAAAAAGTTTTTTCATTCTACATATCATTTAGCGACCCATTTCAAAGTTATAATGGCAGTGAAAAAAAGTGACTTATGACTGGTCCTCATACTTATGACCGTTTCAGCATCCTGACGGTCACGTGATCAAATTTGGGTGCTTGGCAACCGGCTTGTATTTACGATGGTTGCAGCATCCCTCCTGACAGCCGGGAAGCCAAATTCGTTTAACGACCGCCGGTTTCACTTACTAACTGCAGTGATTTGCAGAATAACTGTCACCGGAGTCGTAACATGGGGTGCGACTCACTTAGCGACCTAGCCCAGCAATGAAGATTCAGCCAATTGTGACTACCCGTAGCTATATTTTAAAGCTATTTTTTAAAGAAAATCTAAACTCCGTTAGATTTGAAAATTAAACTCAAATGGCCAGAATTAATCTCGGCCAGGTTGGAGAGAAAAACTGCATTCGATCTTGAAAATAATCTCAAATTACCATGAACAGTTAGGAAATAACCCCAAGGAAGCGGCTCAGTAAGCAGAACCAATTTTCCATCTGTTTTTATTTCTCTGGAGGAAAAAAACCCCCCATAAAACCTGACTTTTAATTGGATTTAAAGGCAGTTCCTTTCGGAGCTAAATTCTGCTCGGTATTTCTGGCTTTGTCACTCTCTCCCGGTTGATTTTCCAGTGTGTGGTTTACGATCACGATTCCAGCGGGAAGCACGATTACATCGGGGAATTCAACACAAGTTTTCAAGAGATGCTCCAGGTTTCCTCCGGAGAAGAGGTAAATGGGGATTGGAATGGGAAGGGAGGGAGAAAAGGAGGGAGAGAGGAAGAAACGAAGGGAGGGAGAGACAGAGAGAAGAAGGAGAGGGGAAAGGGAGGAAGGGAGAAAAGGCGGGGGGAGGGGGGAGAGAAGGAAGGAGGGGGGAAGGAAGAAAAAGAAAGAGGAAGGAAGGAAGGAGGAAGGGAAGGAGAGAAGGAAGAAAAAGAGAAAGAGAGAAAAGAGGGAGGGAGGGAGAAAAGGAGGGAGGGGGGGGGAGAGAGAGGGGAGAAAAAGAGAAAGAGGAAGGAAAGAAAAGTGGAAGAGAAGAAGGGAGGGAGGGAGGAAGGAGTAAGGAAGGAAGGGAAGAAAGAAAGAAAGAGAAAGAGGAAGAAAGGAGGGAAGGGAGGGAGGGAGGAAGAAAAAGAGGAAGAGAAGGAAAGAAGGGAGGGATGGAGGGAGGGAGGGAGGGAGAAAAGGAGGGAGGGAGAATAGGAGAGAGAGAGGAAGAAACGAAGGGAGGGAGAAAAAGAGAGAGGAAGGAGAGGGGAAAGGGAGGGGAAAGGGAGGAAGGGAGAAAAGGTGGGAGGAAGAGAAGGAAGGAGGGAGGGAGGGAAGGAAGAAAAAGAAAGAGGAAGGAGGGAAGGAAGGAAAGGAGGAGGAAGGGAAGGAGGGAAGGAAGAAAAAAGAGGAATGAGGGCGGGAGGGAGAAAAGGAGGGAGGGAAGAAAAAGAGGAAGAGGAAGGAAGGAAGGAAAAGAGGGAGAGAGGAGAGAAGGGAAGGAGGGAAGGAGGGAGGAGGGAGGGAAGAAAGAAAAAGAGAAAGAGAGGGAGGAGGGAGGGAGGGAAGGGAGGAAGGAAGAAAGGAAGAAAAAGAAGAAGAGAAAGAAAGAAGGAAAGGAGGAAGGGAGGGAGGAGGAAGGAAGGGAAGAAAGAAAGAAAAAGAGAAAGAGAGAGGAAGGAAGGAGGGAAGGGAGGAAGGAAGGAACGTTTGTTTAATAATGGCCATAAGTCAAGGACCACCTGTATATCGTCAGTAATTTATATTGTGGGGAAATCAACCTTTCTTTAGGAACTTACATATTTTACAAAAACCTAAATTAAAAATGTTTTTTAATGCTGGGGTTCGTTGAACAAAATCTTGGTCCAACCCTTTGACTAGCAGAAGCCCGAATTTGCATTATAATCCGATTTTATTTTTTTTCTTGGCAGGTGAAATGGGATTGCATTAACCACAAGTATCAAGAAAAGAAGAAAAATTACAAAAATTCGGGATATATCGTCCTCACTCAGTGCAAGGTGAGCTTTTTAGCAGTCATCATTTCTCCGGCCTGGTTTAGGTAAGAAGATGGAACCTTAAGCAGAATTATTTTTTAAAACTTTGAAATTCTCAAACAACTCAGCAATTCACTCTTCTGATTATAAAAAAAAATATTCCTATGCTTGGAAAAAAAAACATGTTTCTAAAGTTATGGATCATCTGTCAGGCTTCAACTGCTGGAAAGGTATAACCGATCAAATCTTCAGGTAATCCTCGATTTACGACGAGAATTGAGCCCAAAATTTCTGCTGCTCAGAAGCTCGGTCGTTAAGTGAGTTTCCCCCATTTTATGACCATCCTTGCCGCAGTGGTTAAGCGAATCACTGCCGTCGTTAAATTAGTCATGCCGTTGTTAAGTGACTCAGGCTTTCCCGTTGACGTTGCCAAGCATCTGAATTTTGATCACGTGACTGTAGGAGGTGCGGCAATGGTTGTAAGTGTGAAAAACGGTCAGAATCCACTTTTTTCAGGGCTGTTGTAACTTTAGTGAACGGTCGCTAAATGAATGTTATAAGTCAAGGACTACCTATATTCCTTCATGGAGATACATAGTTGGCTCAGGAATTCTGGGAGTTGCCATAGTTGACCAACCTTGTTTCTGGGGTGTTGGTAGGGGTAGTCCTCAATTTACGACCATAATTCAACCCCACATTTATGTTGCTAAGTGAGAAATTTGTTCAAAGTGAATTTTCCCGCCTTTCCTTACGACTTTCCTTGCCACATTGGTTAACGGATTCGCTGCCATCGTTAAATGAGTCACCCGGTTGTTAAATGAATCCGGTTTCTCCATTGACGTTGCTCGTCAGAAGGTCGCGAAAGGGGAATCCCATAAGCAAGACGGTTTTTGTGAGTTCTACGGTCCATTTTACGACCTTCCTTCCATGCTGCCATCGTGAAGCGTAAATTTAACTGCCGTTGTTTAAATTTCGTCACACGGTTGTTAAATGAATCCAGCTTTCTGTTGACATTGCTGGTCGCTAAAAGGGAATCGCGACATGACCCCCAGAACTCTGCGACAACCGTCAGAAATGCGAGTCGGTCGCCGAGCATCCCAGATTTACCTCACGTGACCACGAGGATGCCGAAACGGTCACACGTGTGGGGGAAAAAAAAGGTCCCGTTTTTTTCAGCGCCGTTGTAACTTCGAACGGTCCCTAAGTGAAATGTTGTCAGTTGAGGACTAGCTGGGTTAATATTTCGGGCTCCGAAGAAGAAAAAACAAAGATTTGGAAGATGGCTAACCGTCGCATCCTTACCATCATTGTTTCTCTGCAGATGGAGAAAGTCCACACTTTTCTGGATTACATCATGGGTGGCTTACAGATCTCCTTCACGGTAAGTTTTTTTTTTTTTAATTGAAAAGTTTTAAAAAGTTTTACAAACATTTACAAACATTTCCAGTGAAACACCCACAACTTCTGGTGGCAAGCTGTTCCACTGGTTAATTGTCCTCACTGTTAGGAAGTTTCTCCTTAATTCCAGGTTTCCAACCTGGTTATTTCTTGTCCTGCCCTCTGGTGCTTTGGAGAATAATTTGGCCCCCTCTTCTTTGTGGCAGCCTCTCAAGGAGGGGTGGGATTCAGCCGGTTCAGACCGGTTCAGGTGAACCGGTAGCTCTGATGAGCAGCTGGGAGTCAACCGGTAGCTCCGACGTTCAGCTGGGAGTGAACCGGTTCGCTCCGACGATCAGCTGGGAGTCAACCGGTAGCTCCGACGTTCAGCTGGGAGCGAACCGGTTCGCTCCGACGATCAGCTGGGAGTCAACCGGTAGCTCCGATGTTCAGCTGGGAGCGAACCAGTTCACTCCGACGGTCAGCCAGGAGTCAACCGGTAGCTCCAACGTTCAGTTGGGAGCGAACCGGTTCGCTCCGACGATCAGCTGGGAGTCAACCGGTAGCTCCGACGGTCAGCTGGGAGCGAACCGGTTCGCTCTGTCAATCAGGTGGGCCCGCCCACTCTCCCCTTCGCTTTACTTACCTTTATCCTATCAGCTGATTCACACGGCAGAGCGGATTGCCGCACCTCAACTGTCTTACTCCCCAGAAGTAACGTGGAAGGTTAGCTTTGTTAAAACTGTGCGAGCGCGCGTGTCAGGCGAAACACGCAATCACCGAACCGCAGGAGTCGTTCAACCAGCAGGATCCTACCACGGCCCTCAAGTACTGGAATACTGCTATTATTATCATCATCTTCTTTTAATGACCCTTGCCGGGTGGAGTCTGGTCAACTGAATGGAGCTGAGTGTTTAGTGGCCGGATGCCTTTCCTGTCACCAGTACGGAGTTTTGTTCGGCAGATATATTCTCATCGTGCCCAGACAGAGAGAAATATCTGCCTCTACCTAGGATCGAACTCACAGCCTCCTGATTGTGAGGGGAGAGCTCTACCTCTAGGCCACTGCACTACTCTTGGAATACTATTATCATGTCCCTCCTAATTCTTCTTTTCTTTAGGCTAGCCAGACGCAAAACCTGCAGCCGTTATTCATACGTTTTAGTCTCCAGGCCTTTGATCCTCTTAGTTGCTCTTCTCTGCACTTTTTCTAAAGTCCCAACATCTTTTTTTTTGTAATGTGGTGACCAAAACTGGATGCAGGACTCCAGATGTGGCCTTACTAAGGCTTCATAAAACGGTACTAATGCTTCACGTGATTTTGATTCTATGCCTTTCTTTATACAATCCAGGATTGTATTAGCTTTTTCGGCTGCTGACGGCCGCACACAGCTGGCTCGTGTTTAAGTGATCGTATACTAAGACGTCGAGATCTCTCTCGCGGTTACTGTTTTTGAGCCAGATTTCACCTAATCTGTACTTGTACCCTTGAATTTTCCTGCCTAGGTGTAAAACCTTGCCTTCCTCCGCATGAAATTTCGTTTTGTTGTATATTTTTGCCCATTTGTTCAAGTTTGTCAAGATCTTTTTGGATCCTGAGTTTGTCTTCTGGTATGTTGGCTATTTCTGCCAGTTTAGTATCATCTGCAAATTTGATGAGTTCTCCTTCTATTCCCTCATCTAAGTCGTTGATGAAGATATTGAAGAGTCCTGGGCCTGTTCTGCCCCAGCTACGGACCCCAAAGAACGCAGCGCACACAAAGTCCGTTCAAACCTTAGTGTACTGAATAAACCAGTCTTTTACAACAACGGCTGTTAATTAATTGCATTAACAGCGTCCAAGAATTCAAAGAATAATAACTGAAAGCTTACTATGATTGGCAGAATGCCCAGAGCAATTTGCAGGAAGCTGATAAGCAAGACAAGACACGAAGGTATGTGAACGAAGTTGTTCCCTGCAAATTGCTTCAGTCGGCATTCCTCCTTAAATAGGCTAAGGGAGTGGCCAATTAGCCCCAAGCCTTATTCTCGAGGAGACCTCCTCCTGAGGAACCACTCCTGCCTTTTGACAGCTCTGCGCACCCGGGCATCGAGAAGAGGCTCCTCCTCTTCATCCTCTTCACTTAAGGGAGCTTCTGGAGGTTCTGAAGGCCTTGGCTGAATCCCTGCCTCTGGCACCACATCTTCTTCAGCCTCCTCATTGTCGGACTCGAGTGCCAGCTGCACAGGCTGCTGGCACAGAACCACACCAGTCTCCTCGCTGTCTGAATCAGCTACTAGCTGCACAGGCCGCTTACGGGCCACAACAGGGTCTAAGACGGAACCTTGTGGTACCCCACTGCCTGCTTCCCTCCATGTAGACGTAGTACCGTTCGTTAAGGACTACTCGTTGAGTACACTTTGTCAGCCAGTTACAAATCCAACTGGTCGTGATGCCGTCTATCTCACATTTTTTCTAGCTTACCAAGAAATAGGTTGTGGTCTACCTTGTCAAATGCCTTACTGAAAATCTAGGCTACACCGCTGGCTCTCTCTCTCTCCCTCTCTCTCTCCCTTGCCCAGGTAGCCATTGACTTCACAGCTTCCAACGGCGACCCCAGAAGTGAACATTCCCTCCATTTCATCAACCCCCGGGAGCCCAATGAATACCTGAAAACTTTGTCGTCCGTGGGCGAGATCTGCCAGGATTATGACAGGTACAGAGATAAGTTTGCGTCTGGAATGTCGAAACCATAATTCCCAGAATTCCCCTGTCCTTGTTGTGGCCCGCCAGCTGCCAACAGAGCTGGGGGCAGACTCGGACGATGAGGAGGTGGGGGAGGAACGTGGGCCAGCGCTGGAGTCTGGGGAAGACATCGGACGCAGAGATAGAGTTAGGGCCATCTGACATTTCCCAGCCACCGGAGAGGCAGCTGCCTTTGGAGGCTGAGATGAGTGAGGAGGAAGAACAGCTGGGGCCTGTTCCAGATGCACATATGCGCAGAGCAGTTAGGAGAGGGGAGCAACGGAGGACAAGGAGTCGACATAGGAAGCAAAGCATATGTGGACGCTGAATGGCCCCTCCCTGGCTGGGGAATAAAGAGAAGGAAAGGGGAGTGGTGATCGTAGGAGACAACCGTTCGTATTTCTGAAGATTTTGCTCATTGCGTTTCGTACCACAAAGACTGCTTGCCAGAACTTAATTTGCAGCCTTTCGGCTGGGAGCTCACGGGCCTTGCAATCATCACAAGGAACTGATAAGGTCTGTTACTACAGTTAACTTCTTGGCTGGACTTTTTGGTGTGTGAATGCAATTAATTCTCAAGAGGTAAATAAAGAGGGGTTTTTCGTGACCAGGAGTCTGTTTCTTGCTTCTGCTAAGACTGAGTCAGAACTGGCCCCTGTCTGGATGGAAAAACTAAACAGCGTTTTCTCTTCCAGCGATAAACGGTTCCCGGCCTTTGGTTTCGGAGCGCGAATCCCTCCCGATTTCGAGGTACGAGTCCTGAGTTCCGAGGAAGCTGAATTGTTCCCTATTTGGTGCTCCTCATTCGACTCCTCGTTCCTATTTTATTTCATTTTTCTTTTCTCGGACAGGTGTCTCACGATTTTGCCATCAACTTCGATCCGGAGAACCCCGAATGCGAAAGTAGGAAGAATTGTGATTCTTTTTGGGGTGGAATTCTGCGTTCTAGTGCCAGCTGCTGATTTTTTTAAAAAAAGAAAGATTTGGGGGATTGGAAACCTTGGGCAAAGCATAAGGAAGGAAGGAAGGAAGGAATTAAGGAAGGAAGGAATAGGAGAATTTTAAAAAAGAGGAAATATTAGGGAGGGAGGGAGGGAGGGAGGGAGGGAGGGAGGGAGGGAGGAAGGAAGGAAGGAAGGAAGGAAGGAAGGAAGGAAGGAAGGAAGGAAAAAAGAGGAGAATATTAAAAAAGAGAAAATATTAGGGAGGGAGGGAGGAAGGTAAGGGAGAATTTTTAAAAAGAGAAAATATTAATTAATCGCCCATAGGAGGGGGCAGGAAGGAAGGAAGGAAGGAAAAGGAGCATTTTATAAACAGAAAATATTAAGGAAGGTGGAAGGAGGGAGGGAGGGAGGGAGGGAGGGAGGGAAGGAAGGTAGGAAAGAAAGAAAGAAAGAAAGAAAGAAAGAAAGAAAGAAAGAAAGAAAGAAAGAAAGAAAGAAAGAAGAATATTAAAAAAAAAAAATATTAGGGAGGGAGGGAGGGAGGGAGGAAGGTAAAGGAGAATTTTTAAAAAGAGAAAATATTAATTAATCCCTCCTAGGAGGGGGCAGGAGGGAGAGTGGAAGGAAGGAAGGAAGGAAGGAAGGAAGGAAGGAAGGAAGGAAGGAAGGAAGGAAGGAAGGAAGGAAAAGGAGAATTTTTAAAAAGAGAAAATATTAATTAATCCCCCCTAGGAGGGGGCAGGAGGGAGAGTGCAAGGAAGGAATGAAGGAACGAAGGATAAGAAAAAAGGAATAGAGAGAGGGAGAAGAAGGAAGGAAGGGAAAGGAGATTTTTAAAAAAGGAAATATTAAGGAAAGAGGGAGGGAGGGAGGGAGGGAAGGAAGGAAGGAAGGCAGGCAGGCAGGAAGGAAGGAAGGAAGGAATAGGAGAATTTTTAAAAAGAGGAAATATTAGGGAGGGAGGGAGGGAGGGAAGGAAGGAAGGAAGGAGGGAAGGAAAAGGAGAATTTTTAAAAAGAGAAAATATTAATTAATCCCCCCTAGGAGGGGGCAGGAGGGAGAGTGCAAGGAAGGAATGAAGGAACGAAGGATAAGAAAAAAGGAATAGAGAGAGGAGAAGAAGGAAGGAAGGGAAAGGAGATTTTTAAAAAAGGAAATATTAAGGAAAGAGGGAGGGAGGGAGGGAAGGAAGGAAGGAAGGCAGGCGGCAGGAAGGAAGGAAGGAAGGAAGGAATAGGAGAATTTTTAAAAAGAGGAAATATTAGGGAGGGAGGGAGGGAGGGAGGGAAGGAAGGAAGGAAGGAAGGAAGGAAGGAAGGAAGGAAGGAAGGAAGGAAGGAAGGAAGGAAGGAAATTAACCTATTCCAGATCTGGTGGGAATCTAATTTCTTTCCTTCCCTGGCAGAGATTCTCGGGGTGATCGAGGCTTACAAGCGCTGCCTGCCCCAGATCGAGCTGTACGGCCCCACCAACGTGGCGCCCATCATCAACAAGGTGGCAGGGCCTGCAGCCGAAGAGGAGAAGAGCGGGATGCCCACGGTAAGGGACGAGGGGGTCATCTAGGACCCCAAAGGGGGCAATGGGGGGGGTGTCTCACCCCTGGTGCCCCCCTCGGGGCTCCCTGAGACCCTCCTCTGCCCTCTTCCGCAGAAGTACCGCGTGCTGCTCATCCTGACCGACGGGGTGGTGAGCGACATGCCCGAGGCCTGCGATGCCGTCGTGCGGGCTTCCCGCCTGCCCCTCTCCATCATCATCGTGGGCATCGGAACGCCGACTTCTCCGACATGCGGGAGCTGAACGGGGACCGCGGGATGCTGGAGACGGAGGAGGCCGGGCCGTACGGGACATCGTGCAGTTCGTGCCCGTCAGGGAGTTTAAGAAGGTGAAGGAAGGGCCAGGCTCTGCTGGGGGGGAGGGTATTGTGGGGGGGGTATCTAGAAGACCCCGGGATCCAAGAGGGTGAAAGGCCTGCTTGGAGCATCGGTTCTGTGCCCTTGAGTTTCGGCCTATACAGTCCTTCCTTCTCCATTTGTCTTCCTCCCTTCCTTCTCTCTGTCCCCTTCCTTCTTTCCTTCCTTCTCTGTCTCCTTCCTTCCTTTCTCTCTGTCTCCTTCCTTCTTCCATTCTCTTTCCCCTTCCTTCCTTCCTTCTTTCCTTCCTTCTCTGTTTCCATCCTTTCTTCTCTGTCTCCTTCTTTCCTTCCCTCTGTCTCCTTCCTTCCTTCTTTCCTTCCTTCTATGTCTCCTTCCTTCCTTTCTTCTCTGTCTCCTTCCTTTCTTCCTCCTCTGTCCCCTTCCTTCCTTCTTTCCTTCCTTTTCTGTCCCTTTCTTCTCTCTGTCCCCTTCCTTCCTTCCCTGTCTCCTTCCTTCCTCCCTTCTCTCTGTCCCCGTCCTTCCTTTCCTTCCTTCTCTGTCTCCTTCCTTCCTCCCTTCTCTCTGTCCCCTTCCTTCCTTTCTTCTTTCCTTACTTCTCTGTCTCCTTCCTTCCTTTCTTCTCTATCTCCCTCCTTCTTCCCTTCTCTTTCCCCTTCCTTCCTTCTTTCTTTTCTTCCTTCTTTCCTTTCTTCTCTCTCCTTCCTTCCTCCCTTCTCTGTCTCCTCCCTTCCTTCTCTCTTTCTCCTTCTTTCCTTTCTTTCTCCTTCCTTCCTTCCTTCCTTTTGTCTCCTTCCTTCCTTCCTCCCTTCTCTGTCTCCTCCCTTCCTTCTCTCTTTCTCCTTCTTTCCTTTCTTTCTCCTTCCTTCCTTCCTTCCTTTTGTCTCCTTCCTTCCTTCCTCCCTTCTCTGTCTCATTCCTTCCCTCTATCACCGTTCCTTTTTCCATTCTCCTCTTCCTTCCTCCCTCCCTTCTACCTTTGTTCCTTCCTCCACCCTCCTTCTTTCCTCCCTCCCTCCCTCCCTCCTTTATACTTCTTTCCTCCCTTTTTTTCTACTTTTCTTCCCCACCCTCCCTCCCTTCTCCTTGTCCCTTTCCTTCCTTCCTTCCTTTTTCCTTCTTTCCTTTCTTCTCCTTTCCTCCTTTCTTTTCTTTCCTCCCTGCTCTCTTTTCCTTCCTCTCTCTTCCTCTCCCTCCCTCTCTTCCTTTCATTCTCCCTCTTTTCTTCCCTCCGTCTCTCCCTCCCTTTCTCCCTTCCTTCCCACTCGTCCTTTTTCTTTTCTTCCCAGACTGGCCCCAATGCTCTGGCCAAGACGGTTTTGGCTGAAGTCCCCAAACAGGTGGTGGAATATTATGGGGCCAAAGGAATCCCCCCCGGGACACAGAAATCCTCCTCCCCATTGCCCCAGTGAGACCCCCCCGCCCCACTCCAAGCACCCCTCCACCTGTGGGCATGATCTGCCCAGCACCTGAATGTGAGTATCAAAAGCAACATGGCGACTTGGAGATGCCAAGAAGCTGTTTTTGGGGGGCTGGGGGGTGAGGGTCGAGGTAGAGATATGAATTTTGGGGGACAGCGGTGGAAAAAAGTGAGAATTAGCAAAAAAAAAAAAAAATAGAGACTGAGGCCTACACCAACTCCAGAAGGCCTGCCTCTTAGAATGAGGGGGACTTCAACTCCCAGCATTCCGAGCGGCAGAGCTCGGAATGCTGGGAATTGCGGTTCTCAAAAAGGAGAGCCCGGCGCCACCATCTTGAACCTGGCCTGTGGCCTCCATTTTTAGCAAGCTTTGTTAGTGTTTGGCTGAGAAACCACGATCGCGGAAAACGACCCCACGATCCTCAGAGAGGGCCGGAGGGCAACAGCCACGGGGCGCGTGGCAAACAGGGGAGCCTTGGGGACTCCAGAGGTCATCTGTACAGCTTTCCCTCAACTGGAAGAACCCGGGGGTAGGGGTTAGCGGGTTGTGTGAATCGGCAAACTTTGCAAATGACCATTGTGGATCATTTTCTCTCTCTCTCCCTCCCTCTCGCGCTCTCTCTCTCCCCCTCTCTCTGCCTCCCTCTGTCTCCCTTCCCCTCTCTCTCCCTCTCTCTTGCTGTCTCTCTTTCTATATCTCTTTCCCCCTCCCCCTCTCTCTGTTCCTCCCTCCCTCTGTCTCTCTTTCCCTCTCTCCCTCTTTCTCTCTCCCTCCCTCCCTGCGTCTCTCTCTGTCTCTTTCTCTCTTTTCTGTCTCTCCCTCCCTCTCCCCTCTCTCTGTCTTTCTCTCTCCCTCCCTGTTTCTCCCTCCCTCTCTCTCCCTCCCTCCTTCTCTGTCTGTCTCTCTCCCTCCCTCTCTGTTTCTACCTCTCTCTCTCTTTCTGTCTCTCCCTCCCCCTCTCTTTATCTCTCTCCCTCCCTTCCTCTCTGTCTCTCTCTCTCTCTCCCTTCCTCCCTCTCTGTCTCTGTCTCTCTTTCTCTCTCTTCCTCCCTCTCTCTCTCCCTCCCTCTCTCTGTCTCTCCCTCCCTCCCCTTCTCTCTCTTTCTCCCTCCCTCCCTCTCTCTGTCTCTACTTCTCTCTTTCTCTTTCTGTCTCTCCCTCCCCCTCTCTTTCTCCCTCCCTCTGTCTCTACCTCTCTCTCTTTCTCTGTCTCTCCCTCCCCCTCTGTCTTTTTCTCCCTCCCTCCCTCTCTCTGTCTCTACCTCTCTCTTTCTCTTTCTGTCTCTCCCTCCCCCCTCTCTTTCTCCCTCCCTCTCTGTCTCTACCTCTCTCTCTTTCTCTTTCTGTCTCTCCCTCCCCTTCTCTGTCTTTTTCCCCCCTCCTCCCTCTCTGTCTCTCCCTCCCTCTCTCTCTTTCTGTCTCTCCCTCCCTCCCCCTCTCTCTATCTCTCTCCCTCCCTCCCTCTCTGTCTCTCACTCTCTCCCTTCCTCCCTGTCTGTCTCTGTCTCTCTTTCTCTCTCTTTCTGTCTCTCCCTCCCTCTCCCACCCGCCCTCCCACCCTCTCTCTCTCCCAGGTGCCTGTTTCTCTGTCCTCACACCTCCGTCTTCCAGCCTCCAGTCCCTTCGGGTGGGGAAAAAAGAGATCGAATGAACGGGGAGCTGCCTCCATCCTCTGCGGCTTCAGGCCTCCGAACACAACTCAGGACGTCAGCTGGCACCACGGGCATCGGGCAACCCTCCCCTCAAAGTTTCCCCTTCTCTGCCTTCCCTGATCTTAGCCTGAAACACCCCCCCCCCAAAATAGCTTGCCGTGGCTGACCCCCACATCCTTTAATAAACACCGTGAAATCCTCCCGAGAGTCTCGATTCTTGCCTGGGCTCCTTGCTAGTCCTTGATTTACGAGCATTCAATTACTGAAGTCTCAACGGCGCTGAAAAAAAAGTGACTTAGGACAAGTCCTCACACGTACGACCAGTCCTCACACGTACAGCCGATCCTCGTACTTACGGCCGATCCTCGACTTATGACCAATCCTCGCACTTACGACCCTCACAGCATTAACCCCAGTCACATGAACATCATCCAGGCATTAGCAACTGACATGCGTTTACGATGGTTGCGGGGTCGTATAATCGCCATTCGTCACCTTTCCCGGCCGATTTCCGACCAGTCAAAGTCAATGGGGGCATCCGGGTTCGCTTAACGACCACTGGTTCATTTAACGACCATCTCTGGTGATTTGCTGAAGAATGGTAGCAAATGAAGGTTATAAAAATCCGGGGCGAGTCGTTTAACCGCCGCTTGGCTCAACGGTGAGGAAAGTTGGGTCAGCGATTGCGGTCGTAAACTGAGGACTACCCGGCTGTTAAAAAATGCTGATTTTTTATTATTTTTTTGCCAAGGGAAAAAAAATTATTCATTTTCACTGACTGGTGGTGGAAATTATAACTCTCAAAGGGAGTTTTATTCCCAAATTTGGATACTGATTTTGAAGGAAGTATGTAAGATAAATAAATATTGGTGAAAGGTTAATAGGGATCTCAAATTCAGAGACAGGCTAAGTTGGTTAATTAATAACCTGGTTAGTCCATCCTTAACGCTGCCCATGATGAGAAGCAGGTCAGGTCAGTGTTTCTCAACCTTGGCTAGCTGGGGAATTCTGGGAATTGAAGTCTTAAAGCGGCCAAGGTTGAAAAACAGTGTTATAGATCATTTTTTAAAAATAAACCCGTTTAATCATGATTTTAATAGTTAATCATGATTTAATGGTAATATAGGAGTTTTGACTTGGGCCAAACATTTACAGGGTGGGGCCCAGGGCTATTGACCATGGGGGTTTGATTTTGGCGTCCCCATCGTCCCCAGGGGTTGCTACAAATCAACACGAGAGGCAGTTTGGTGTAGTGGTTAAGGTGTTGGTCTAGAAACCAGGAGACGGTGAATTCTAGTCCTGCCTCAGGCATGAAAGCCGACTGGGTGACTTTGGGCCGATCACCAGGAGACTGGGAGTTCTAGCACCGTCTCAGGTATGAAAGCCAGCAGGGTGTCTTTGGGCCTATCACTAGGAGACTGGGAGTTCTAGCACTACCTCAGGTATGAAAGCCAGCTGACTGACTTTGGGCCAATCACCAGGAGACTGGGAGTTCTAGCACCGTCTCAGGCATGAAAGCTGGCAGGGTGACTTGGGATCAACCATCAGGAGACTGGGAGTTCTAGTCCTGCCTTAGGCAAACTGGCAGGACTTATGCAAACTGGCTGGGTGACTTTGGGCCAATCACTAGGAGACTGGGAATTCTAGCACTACCTCAGGTATGAAAGCCAGCTGGGTGACTTGGGCCTATCACTAGGAGACTGGGAATTCTAGCACTACCTCAGGTATGAAAGCCAGCTGGGTGACTTTGGGCCAATCACCAGGAGACTGGGAGTTCTAGCACCGTCTCAAGTATGAAAGCCGGCAGGGTGTCTTTGGGCCTATCACTAGGAGACTGGGAGTTCTAGCACTACCTCAGGTATGAAAGCCAGCTGACTGACTTTGGGCCAATCACCAGGAGACTGGGAGTTCTAGCACCGTCTCAGGTATGAAAGCCGGCAGGGTGACTTGGGATCAACCATCAGGAGACTGGGAGTTCTAGTCCTGCCTTAGACATGAAAGCTGGCAGGGTTACTTTGGGCCAATCACCAGGAGATTGGGAGTTCTAGTACCGTCTCAGGCAAGAAAACCAGCTGGGTGACTTCGGGCCAATCACCAGGAGACTGGGAGTTCTAGTTCCGCCTCATGCATGAAAACGAGTTGGGTGACTTCAGCACAATCATCAGGAGATGGTGAGTTCTGGTCTCGCGTTAGCCACAAAAATCGACAGGCGCCTTTGGGCCAATCACCAGGAGACTGGGAGTTCTAGTCCTGCCTTAGGCATGAAAGCCATCTGGGAGACCTCGGTTAACATTGGAGACCACCTTAAAAAAAAAAGTTAGATCTTGGCGATCCTAATTTAGCAACGATATGACAAGTTGGTGCTTCTGGCAGCACTAGACCAGCTCTAAACCACGATCTATGCCAAACCTTGGCCTCTCAGCTTCTCCTTCGTTACGGGTGCTCAACCCTACCTGGCAATACCTCTGAGCATAGGCAGAGGGGATCCCACCCCCCTTATGGGCCACCCATCCTAAGCACACCTCATCCAAGGGACCACAGGCTGGAGAAAAACCTAAAACACTCAAAATTTTGCAGCCGGCTCCTGGTGCGAATCACGCCCCTTGCTAAACCCAAAGGCCAATTTGGGCCATTTTGTTTTCTTCCTTGCAAAGCGTTTCCAGTGGTTTTCTGCCTTCCTTTTGCGGCGTTCCCCGGCATTTCATCGATGGCAGAGGTTCAGAAGCGCTATTAATCCGGCTGCTTGTGCTGGCACAGGGAAGACCACGGGCACGAGAGCTCCAAGGAGCACGGCAGGGCGGGTAGAGAAGCCGTGGAGAGGGCAGACCGTGCTTCTCCCCGTTCAAACTCCCGTTTAAGAAAAATAACCTGGTTAGCCCATCCTTGTAAACATTACGGATCGATATTTCTCCACAGCGGCAACTTTTCAGATGGGTGGACTTCAACTCCCAGAATTCCCCAGCCAGAGTATGAAGTCCAGCCATCTTAAAATGGCTGGGATTCCTAACTCCAGTGCTGGCTGGGGAGTTCTGGGAGTTGAAGTCCGCCCATTTTGAAGTCACTAAGGTTGCTAACTCCCATGGTAGCTGTGGAATTCTGGGAGTTTAAGTCCACCCATTCAGGTGGCTAATCCCCATGCTGGTTGGGGAATTCTGGGAGTTGAAGTCCACCCATCTTAAAATTGCCAAGATTTCTAACTCCAGCGCTGACTAGGGAATCCTGGGAGTTGAAGTCCATCCATTAAGGTTGCTAATCCCAATGTTGGTTAGGGAATTCTGGGAGTTGAAGTTCACCCATTTTGAAGTCACTAAGGTTACTAACCACCATGGTAGCTGTGGAATTCTGGGAGTTGAAGTCCACCATCTTAAAATTGCTGACAATTCTAAATCCAGTGCCGACTAGGGAATTCTGGGAGTTGCACTCCACTCACCTTAAAGTTGCTAAGGTTGCTAATCCCTATGTTGGTTGGAGAATTCTGGGAGCTGAAGTCCACCCATCTTAAAGTCAAATAAAGTTGCTAACCACCATGATAACTAGGGAATTCTGGGAGTTGAAGTCCACCCATTTTAAAGTCAAATAAGGCTGCTAACCACCATGCTGACTAGGGAATTCTGGGAGTTGAAGTCCACCCATTTTAAGGTAATGAAGGTTGCTAACCACCATGCTGGCTAGGGAATTCTGGGAGTTGAAGTCCACCCATTTTAAAGTCACTAAGGTTGCTAACCACCATGCTGGCTAGGGAATTCTGGGAGTTGAAGTCCACCGACTAAGGTTGCTAACCGCCATGCTGGTTGGGGAATTCTGGGAGTTGAAGTCCACCCATTTTAAAGTCAAATAAGGTTGCTAAGCACCATGCTGGCTAGGGAATTCTGGGAGTTGAAGTCCACCCATTTTAAAGTCAAATAAGGCTGCTAACCACTATGCTGACTAGGGAATTCTGGGAGTTGAAGTCCACCCATTTTAAAGTCAAATAAGGTTGCTAACTGCCATGCTGGCTAGGGAATTCTGGGAGTTGAAGTCCACCCATTTTAAAGTCAAATAAGGTTGCTAACTGCCATGCTGACTAGGGAATTCTGGGAGTTGAAGTCCACCCATTTTAAAGTCAAATAAGGTTGCTAAGCACCATGCTGGCTAGGGAATTCTGGGAGTTGAAGTCCACCCATTTTAAAGTCAAATAAGGTTGCTAACTGCCATGCTGGCTAGGGAATTCTGGGAGTTGAAGTCCACCCATTTTAAAGTCACTAAGGTTGCTAACCGCCATGCTGGCTAGGGAATTCTGGGAGTTGAAGTCCACCCATTTTAAAGTCAAATAAGGTTGCTAACCACCATGCTGGCTAGGGAATTCTGGGAGTTGAAGTCCACCCATTTTAAAGTCACTAAGGTTGCTAACCGCCATGCTGACTAGGGAATTCTGGGAGTTGAAGTCCACCCATTTTAAAGTCAAATAAGGTTGCTAACCGCCATGCTGGCTAGGGAATCCTGGGAGTTGAAGTCCACCCATTTTAAAGTCAAATAAGGTTGCTGACCGCCATGCTGACTAGGGAATTCTGGGAGTTGAAGTCCACCCATTTTAAAGTCAAATAAGGTTGCTAACCACCATGCTGACTAGGGAATTCTGGGAGTTGAAGTCCACCCATCTTAAATTTGCCGAGATTTCTAACTCCAGTGCTGACTAGGGAATTCTGGGAGTTGAAGTCCACCCATTCAGGTGGCTAATCCCCATGCTGGTTGGGGAATTCTGGGAGTTGAAGTCCACCCATTTTAAAGTCAAATAAGGTTGCTAACCGCCATGCTGACTAGGGAATTCTGGGAGTTGAAGTCCACCCATTTTAAAGTCAAATAAGGTTGCTAACCGCCATGCTGACTAGGGAATTCTGGGAGTTGAAGTCCACCCATTTTAAAGTCAAATAAGGTTGCTAACCGCCATGCTGACTAGGGAATTCTGGAGTTGAAGTCCACCCATTTTAAAGTCAAATAAGGTTGCTAACTGCCATGCTGACTGGGGAATTCTGGGAGTTGAAGTCCACCCATTTTAAAGTCACTAAGGTTGCTAACTGCCATGCTGGCTAGGGAATTCTGGGAGTTGAAGTCCACCCATTTTAAAGTCAAATAAGGTTGCTAAGCACCATGCTGACTGGGGAATTCTGGGAGTTGAAGTCCACCCATTTTAAAGTCACTAAGGTTGCTAACTGCCATGCTG